ACACAGGAGTCACCCGCGGGCCACATTTGGCCAGCAGGCCTTGTGTTTGACACATGTGTAATAGACAATAAACAATAATAATAATACTTTATGTACATGGGGTGGGGGTGGGGGGTTACCTGCACAGGTTCGGTCCTGTTCCCGATGTAGACGTGATAAACGCCGCTGACAGAATGACCATCTTTGTAAGCGTCTGCGCAGTCCTTCCACATCTGGCTGCGAGGAGGCGAGCCTGGAGGCAAAACCGTGATGAGATACATCACAGCAGGAATTTATTTAATGTGTGTGTGTGTGTGTCTGTGTGTGTGTACCTGTAGTCGTGGCCACCATGTTGATGAGTGTGTGGACGGACTCCATCAGCTGGGCCTGCTGCTTCTGCAGAGCCGTGTTGTTGCTGGTGGCGACTTTCAGCTGCCGCTCCAYAGACTCTATCGCCACCATCTGAGTCCTGACCACCGACTGGGAGAGAAAAGATTCATCTGTGTTTTTACTTTGCATATATTTGTATTTTTGTATGATTCTGCACCAGCCTCTTGTCATTCTTGTCAAATAAACGACCTTAAAGATTCAAAAAARCCATCTGATGTGTGATCTAATGAGCATGAAATCTGCCCCCCGTCAGTCCTGACAGGATTCATTTTAATAAAAACTCAGACACCTGTCCAAACAGTCTCCTGCCGGTGATGTTTCTGTGCTTTAATAACACCCAGATGTCCTGTTTGGTAACTGTACCTGCAGCCTGTTCTTCTCCACCCTCATGTCCTCCAGCTCTCCTCTCTGCTGAGACTCCAACATCTGAACTTTGCTCTCCAGATGACTGGAAAAAAGAAAAGAAACTCATTTAACACACAAGTTTCTTCTGTAAGTTTAATAAAAGTTGACTCGAGTTTGCTTTTGTTTTGAAATTCCCTTTAGATGTCATTTATAATAAAGAGTTTTATGATCTCTTATTGGCATTCAGTCAAGTTTAAAGTGCCTGTGACATCAAAGTTTTGTAATAAATATGGATGCATTTTTGGAAGAAAATGCTGAGAACATATTGCAAAACACATTTTACACAGCTGAGATGAACAGTTGTTGAGATATTCACACGTAAAATGACAGGAAGTGATGTCAAAGGGGAATGGCTACATGTAAAGCGATCATTACTAAAATGTATTGCAGACAGTAGAGAAGAATGTGATGTTTCTTTATATTATTTTGAGCCACTATCAGAGAAACGAAGAAGAGTCAGAGTTCAAATATTATTGTTTCAATAAACAAAGACCAGGGAGTTCCCTTTTCTTAAAGAGTTCCCCTTTGATGTCACTTCCTGTTTCACTTTGGCTTAAGTTAAAAAGTAAATATGCCTGTTATGTGATAAAATAAGTAAGATCATGTTTATTATGTCAAGTTTCTTAAATTAACCCTCCTGAGACCCTGTGTCCTCATCAATTTGGCCTCATTAAAGGACACTACCAGTGCCCTCTAGTGGTTGTGTGACAATATTACACTCATTTGAGTGATAAAAAGATGGTGGGGATCCCTGTAAAAAGCTTCTACAACTCTCAGTAAAAAATGGCCAAAATAAAAATCTAAATTACATTAAAGAATTGAAGCCAGTATATTTATGCATTGTTACATCTTTAGCTTCATTTTTTTATAACTGAAGCAAAGTACAATGTCTGTAAAGATAAAGTCCTCATTTGAGGACATTGGGACTATAATTTTGTTTTTAATTGTGCCTGGATTTTGGATAAACCTGCAGATATTTAGAAGAGTTTACAAATGTAAATAGTTTGTGTAAGTGGTGTATTTGGCCACAAAGTTTTGTTAAACAAATCTGGAAATTCTAGCAAGTGGTCGATTTCTTCAACCAATTACTTATACCTACAGTATACCTATGATCTGGTCAAATGGTCTGTGTTTTCCTGCCATTATGTCACATGATCTGCTCTTCAAACTGAAGAGCAATCTGAAAGTTATCATGGAAGATGATGATGATGTGTTTCACTGATTTTGCTGGCTGCTGTATTGTCAAAATAAATAGGAAAATCTTACTCCTAGAAAGGCTATCATGAAGCTTCTCAAGTTTTGTAATTTCTTAGGTATTCCTCAGCAAGGGTGACACTTTGAAACCCAGTGTACTCATATGAGGATATCATTTTTTTGTTGCAAAAATTACTTACTGTACCATGATAGAGTCTAGATATTATACTTATTAGGTCCTACTGATTTCATGTATCTTGGAGAAAGAAAAAAATGCACATAAAAGAAGCTTGGGCCTCAGGAGGATAAAGAAGTTTTCTTTGATATTTTGTATTTGAAGGATCTGCACGTCATAGACACTTTSAAACAGGGCTGGTGAAAGTTACTTGTTTACCTGAAGCACACAAGAGAAAACCGATTTGAAAACACCARAATGACGGAACATTGGGTGATTGAAAGTGTCCCCTGCTGGAGTCAGATGGAGGGAATATATTACAGCATTTATCACCCATCTGCTGAAAAAGATGGGAGTAAAAGGTCACTTCCTCCAACAAACCGTTAAATCTGTGTCCACTGCAGAAAACAAATCAGCAGTAAAYGAAATGGGATTGAATTTATGGTCAGTTCCCTCAGAATAAGAGAAAATGTGTTTTTATTATTATTTTTTTATTAATTCTGATCAAAGGAGGAAAAGACTAAAGTGTAATGCTGACATACAGCTGAGCATAAAGCTGGTGGGTAGGGAGGACATGAAAGCCAAACTGTTTACATTAAATCTGTTTGTAATGAACCAGAGGTTGTAACTCCTGAATTACTCCCTCTCGTTTAAAAAAAAAAAATCTGTAACAGTGAAATAAAGATTAATAACTCCACCATTCTTCTTCCTGCCAGATCAGACCGCAGCTGTCGTTATCTGTGCAGCTGAACCAGCAGTCCAGCTGTTGAAAATAGACTCCAGGCCACAGTTAGATCAACAACGTTTCGGGCCAAACGAATGAAAGCCGATGAGGGAGTGGCGGTGGTCTCGGGGGGACGACGTGGGACATGTGTCCAGTTTACGCTCACTTRTCTGCTAATCTGCAGGATCAGGGTGGAAAACTCAAACGAGCTTCTGACGAACTCAAACGAATTATTTGTATTTATTCTGCTTAATTCAAGTTTTAATTATCTGTGCTGAGTTTAGGCTGTATTATAAGCAGACGGGTCAGTTTTATAAACACTAACAGATGCAAAGTGCTGTTTTTACAACCTAATGTATGAAACAWGATGTTAAGTGTCTCATTATCACAGAGTTGTTATAATTCTTATTTAAAATCGTGTCTAAATCTGGTTTGTTGTGTTGTTTATAGAAACCTGTAGMAAGTTTCGCTCCTTTAAACTAACTGTTGTTTCTAACTGCTTTTAGAACCACAGATTGTTGACATTCAGACAGGAACAAACAAGACAAAAACTGTGATTTGTAAACTATTTCTCACTCACATCTTAGTTAAAAAAACAAAACTGTTTATTAATCAGCATCAAACATTCTGTAATTCTGAAAGCTTTTCTGTTTTGTGATGAACTGGATTGAACTTTGTTTCAGTATTTTCCTTTTTAAACTGATTATAGTGTATTCTTAAAAGAACATTGTGTTGTTTGAACCTTATTAAAAGAGCAATAAGTGAAGCCTAAAATGTGAGTACAGCAAATAAATTATAATTAACGAGTAAAATTTGATGTATGATATACAAAAATAACTTTCTGAGAATTCCTAGAGCAATTGCCAGGACGCTTTGGTCAAGATGAAAGTGCTGACTTTGTTACAACACAGTTATTTAGAATGACATTAAATAGTATTTTGTTTAAAATAAAAAGCCAATTCTCTTAATCTTTTCATCAAAGGCGAAGTAAATATTAAATCTTCATTAGTTGTGTTTATGCATCACAGTTTCCCTCTAGTTCAGTAATATTTTCCTTTACAGTCCAAAGAAGTGATGAAACGTCCACATTTTGTAAATGAAACAGTCTGGTGGAAGTGTGGCTGATTGTTGGACGTGATCCTCCCTCGTTTAACAGAACGAGGGAGGATCARGTCCAACAACGCGGCTCGTTTGAGCGATATACAGTATTCTGTTACAGGTGAGGRTTTAGTCACAGCTGAAAAACTTGATCAGTTCCTGGCTGCTTCAATGCACRGACCTGCACATGAATGAGGAAATGGTTTTTCAGCGCCACGGTGAGCGGCTGATTGCTGCAGCTCTGCGGTTTGTGTGCGAGGTGTTAAAACGTAACTTTATGCTGAAATCTACGAGCGTGTGGATGCAATTTAATGTGAGCTGAAAAGGTTATAATAAGTTCTTGGACATTTCTAAAGTTTTATTCTAAGAAGTTTGGACAAATAAATCAGCTTCAGTGATACAAACTGAGACCAAAGCAGGTAAGAAAAACAGCAGCTACATATAATTATTTAATTTAAATTCCAAATAAACTAAGTGCATTTTACAAAATATAATAAATACGTAAATACATTCTCTACAGGTCATTTAATGTTTTTAAATCCTTTCTTTTCACATTTAAATCATTCAGTTGGGTCTTTATACAGTAAAACTACAAAAATTTGGTCTGAATTCTTCCTTATTCTAACTTTATCATCTCCTCTTTCACCCCTTTTCTGCTGTGCGTCTCAAAGCAACTCGTTTTGTTACTGTTCCTTTAAGATACTTCAAGCCCCGCCCCCCTCCAGCTTCCAGACCGGTCCACTCCGGTTTGACAGAGGAGGTTATGTTTTCTAATGATGTAGAAATGTTTTATTTAATTGAAAGATGCCAACAACAGAAGACCTGTCCATCCAGCCTTACAGGTTTGAGCCAGAGTCCAACCCAGAACCAGAGTCTGACCCAGAACCAGAGTCTGGCCCAGAACCAGAGTCTGACCCAGAACCAGAGTCTGACCCAGAACTAGAGTCTGACCCAGACCCAGAGGAGAATTAAGACGAGGAAATTGTAGTTGGTAAGTCCAGACCTTATATGGGAATTCCGTTGCAGATAATTTGATGTAATATTTCAGAAAACATCATAGAAAATAGTAAAAACCAAATGTGCTGAAAAATGTGACCCAAACAGAATATAAAGYTATCTTTGCAGAACTAGGTTCTGCCTCTGAGAGCCTTCAAGTCCACACCAAAATGTATTTAACAGCTAAAATAAGTGGATTTTGCATAATACTGTATGTCCCCATTAAATGAAATACCTGAAATATAATCTTAAAGAAATTTAAAATCTCTTTTTTGAGATACAAAACACAACTTGAGCAGAAAAATCTTACATTTTTGTCTTRTTCTCTGCCAGCTAGCAAAGCTTRTTTTRTTTCCAGCTGGTAAATCCTAAAATCCAAGTATTTCCTCATTAGAATAACATAAAAATAAGATTCAAACCAAATATTTCTGTGTTATCCTGATTAATAAGACAAATCAAAGCATGTRTCATGAAATGAGGAAAARGAAAATGTGCTGAGGTCATTCTGACCAAATGTGACCTCATCCACCTGTGTGAACTGTAGGGAGGATCTGGGTCTSAACAGTTAAAATGAGCAACAGAAAGATTTGTTTGTTTCYAAMTGATTCATTAAGATTTAATGTTTTGTAGCAGCCTTTATGTTTGTAGCTCTTAGCTCGGTCTGTGTCTCCTGACCCACAGAGGGTTCATCCTGCTAACAGAAAAATCTCTCACACAATGTAAAACTACTGTTTTCGAGTCCCACARACACACATGTACAGTCTGAGCGTGTCTGTTTGCATTAGATATGTTACTGTAAACAGAAACGCACTTGATAATCACTCCGAAAGTTTCACCACCCGCTGCACCGTCCAAGTTCACCTCAGAGTGAAAAATGATAAAAATATTGTGATTCCAAACATTGGTGTGTCTCACAGCAACAGCTGAGGTTGTGTTTCCTGCAGGCTGCTCTCTCTTAGCTTTCACATTATCTCTGATAACTTACAAACTGTCACGTCTACTATAAAAGGAAGTACAGTTAAGCTGGTTTGAAGTTCTTTGACAGATTAATAAAAAAGCAACAAGRATGGATAAGCTGGCGTTAGCATCGGAAAYGCTAGCYACTAGCATGAGGCTAGCCTCTCCGATGCTAATGCCAGCTCATCCATGCTAGTTGCTAGCCTCTTTGATGCTGACACAAATGAAAAATATGTGTACAATAGGTTGCCTTCAGGCCCAGGCCTCCCTTGAAAAAGAGATATGAGATCTCAAKAGGACTTGCCTGGGTAAATAACGATCGATAAATAATAATAATAGTAATAAATAAATAAATAAAAATGAATAGTCTCCTTCTCYTTTGTCAGCGCAGGCTTCTCAGTTACAGAGGTCAGCTGTAGAGGTACCAGTGCCGGCCTATCATTAATCAGATAGGATGTAGCAACCGCTGGTTGTGCAATAATCTTAATTTTAGCCCTCATACCGCYCTATTATATAGAGCACTAACAGATTGCACTGGATCTTTGCTTAGAATTTTGGCATGAATAGAAATGGGTAATGTGTATTTTTTTATTTTAATCTGGATTCACTTTGATTTTCTTTTTGCTTCTCCTTTATTGTAGAGAATCAGTTAATAATTAACAGAAAACACAAAAACAAATAAAAACCCACAGATTGTGACAGAAGTCCCACATGTCCCACCTGTTCTTGTCTCTCAGCTGCCTGATCTCGGTGGTTTGCAGAAGGAGCTCCTTCTCCAGCTTGTTGGTGGACAGAGAATTCTCCAGAAGTTGGATTTCTATCCGTGACGTGTGGTTCAGAACCTGGTAAAAAAAAAAAAAAAGGAAGAATAAACAAAGAATAAATGCGGTTGCCTCAGAGGAAGCTCTGTCGTGGGGGACGTGTTGGTTACCTTGGCCTCGACCACGTTGAGTTTTCTCGTCTGCTCGGCCGTCTGTGAGAGCAGGTTGGTTCCGATCTCCAGCATCGTGGCTGTTTGGTTGTGAACGACGTGGGACTGGATATTGGCGACGTCTCGCCTTAAACTCCTCTGGATGAAACCCTCCAACTGTGGATTAAAAAACGAGAGAGATGTTTGAGCTTCTGCCTTTTATTAAGATAAAACGGCACGTCGACACGATTGTMTCTGGTTTTTCGGTCGAATTTGTGGCTTTTGTCTTCATGTTTTCAGTCTGTCTTAGGTTTAGGTTCTTTTGACTCGTCTGTGGTTCTTTACATCCCTCAGTTTGCCCCAGTGTTAAATTCTTCCTTCTGTTTTCCCACAAAACTGGTCCTGTTTTCTCATTTTCCACCTCATGGCTTTAATCATTATCTTCCTCAGTATATAAAACACTCACTTTTCTCTTTTTTCCCCCCCTCTTCCTTGTCAGGCTTTTATTATAACTGGCTCATGCTTAGTTTTGTGTTATAAATAAACACCCAGAATTGATCACTTCTGCCTGCTTGTGCGTTTTTACAACACGTTCCATAATATTGATTGCTCCYTTCGTGTTTTTGTTAAGCGGTGCCAACCAAACTGCAAGAGTCTGGCACCGGTTTGAAGCTATCAAAGGCCTCCCACAGGTTTTGAGTGACAATCTGACATTTTGGTCCGTTTCTCTCACAGCCGTTAACGTGCCTGACAGACGGCTCAAAACTCACGCGGTGTAAATATTCTCCACGAGAAAACCGGCATGACAGCCGTGTTTACCGCAAAACTCRCATCTCAATTTGGTGAGTTACCAAGCTGACATTTACTATCAAGGAATGAGGTAAACATTATGGGATTGTGTTTACTTTTACAGGATCATAAAACAGCGCTTTTGGAGAAATAAAAGCTTGAATTTTACGATACAATATGAGAATGTTCACGAAGAACAAATTTTAAATGTTCTTCCAGAAGTTGTCAAGGCACGTTTTTCGCCTCGTGACGGAAAAGTCGCTTTATCATCTAAAAAACATGGAATGTAACACAAACGAGTTCTTTCCAGAAGGTTCCCGAGGTTCTGCAGAGAAACCACCCACTCAGAACACAAAGCATGTCAGGGTGGGGGCTAAAGATGCAGGTCCTCCCATCTCTGGGAACATCAGCCGATGCCAGCTCGTCCTGCCARGCTGCGACCCTCAGCAGCTCACAAATAAACAATCCGTCCGTTCGGACGTCTATTCATGCCTCCGACTCCACATCCTCAGGATATCAGTGCCACTGAGAAGCACGGGGAGTTGATAAATATACTGCTGCACCAACAAATAGACGGGTCCCAGCGGGACGGTCAGTTCACCGACGAGGCAAAGTTCAGGCCACGACGCCACGACCGCATTCTCTGGTGTCCCATCACAGGACAAAAAAGTACTTTGTTTTTTATTGAGATCAGACCTCAGATCAGAGGTGGCTGTTGTCCTGTTAAATCCAGACGTGTTTGGGTTTATTTCTCACCGATCATCGCTTTTCATCACAAATATGTTTTGGTGTTACGGGCTTGAGAGCAGGAACTAAATTACGAGTTGGTTCTGCAGTTTAGCTTCTACTCATGAGGAAAAATGGAGGAAGGAAATCATCACTTTAGTTATTGATCATACTTATTCCCACGTGAACAAAACAGTTATTTTCACCATTTAACAAGATTAAAATATTTGGCTGCAAGTCTGATTCATGTTCACCGACCATCTTTTGAACGGGACAGCTTTATAAGTTCAGAGATGACTATCAGTCGTTTCGAGGAACTTCTGTGTCGGTGAGTAAATTGGGCTGAAAAACAGATCTGATGTGATGCAGAAAGATGTTATTAAAAAAAGAAGAAGGAGAAAACAGCTGGAACAAACGAGCTGGTTCATTTCTGCTTCCTGAGATGTTGCAGATAAACTTTGATCAAGAGGCCAAGTTGTAAAACGTAAAAAAGGAGAGAGAGAGAGAGAGAGAGAGAGAACTAAAGTTTAGCAGGTTTTCTTTTCTCTTTTTGTTGATTTTCCAGAGACAAAACCTTCTGACTTCTTACTTCACCCTCGCTTCCTGAGCTGGAATTGAACTACAAACCCCAGACAGGACATAAAACATCTTCTCTGGAACCGGTGCCGGCACACACAAGAACACAATTAGCTCGACACGGGTCCACTTACGTTTACAAAGTGAAGTCAGACCAACAAGCTCACCAACTGGAATAGCGCTCATTTCAGAGCCGCTAACTCAAACCACATGTTGGTTTCACTGGGATCTGGGCCTTCTGGGGGACTTCAGACCAGTCGTAGGGGGGTGGGGGGTAAGCCCCCCCCACCTCCCGGATAATAAGGGTGACGCACAGGAGAGTAGCACTGATAGGGATCTGGGGTAACAAGTGCACCGTGTGGCGCTGGAGTGTGTCAGAATCAGAYCCGTGAACTCAGCTGAAGCTGAAGAGAGGAAAACTTACAAAATAAATTTTAAAGTTTTAAAATGACCTCCAACTCATAAASTTTCATAATAAAAGCCTGAAAACACCTCATGCAGTGAGCAGTTCAGGTTTGCAGAGGTAAAACTTGTCCCTCCTCCAGCTCAGWGTAATAAAAATCTTATCTCTGTTTCTTTCCAACCTCACGCTGCGTTCACTGACTTTCAGACGTTTTCGATCATTTTTGGTTCAATAACTGCAGACCAGGATCCGGAGTCCGGCTGCACAAAATTAGAAAACCATGTGATTTTTGATGTGATTGCCGATTGTTGCAATAACAACGGGTCTGGGGTAGAAACCCCACATTTTCCTCACTCCTGTCTCTTTGTTCTGTCATCACAACGCTCACAACGCTTTCTGTGTGTTTTAGCGTCTCGACCACATAATGTGAACCGGGTGTGGACATCAAGAGGAGCGAGAGGCATGAAGGCACAACACTTGGAGTGGAAAAGTCTCGGATTTATTCAAGTTCAAGACGTCTTTCGCAATTTCTATATTCTGCATCCTGGTGATGAGTAATTATTTATATGATGCAGACGTGTCAGGATCTGTGTTTTTGGGTTATTTTTTTGGTAGCTTTTGTGTTTTTTATTATTAGGTTTATTCCCTTCTGGTTATTGTGTTTTGTTGTTTTGTATTATTTTATTGTGTTTAGTCGTGTTTCATTTGTCTAGTTTTGTGCCATCAGTAACTTCTCAGTCACACCTGGCTTCCTAACACCATTTTCATTTTTATTGTAAATATTTGCTGTCACGTCGGCCTTTTGCTTTGTCTAAAAGAAGAGTGTGCATTCTTGAGTCCAACCTCCATTCAGCCGTGACAAAACAATCAGACATTTCAAAAAGAAGTTAGCAAAAAATGCTCAAGTTTCAAAGTAAATACATCGTGTATTTTATTCACAATGGAACATGGCATCAAATTTTAAACCAAGATTTGAACTGTTTTTGGCGACAAATATGCATATTTTTCATTTGGAAGAGGAATGTGGAGGAGTATTTCGGATCTAATCAGGTTAAAAAGAGCTTTGCAGGGAATAAATCTCTGTGAAAGACTAAAAWACAGTGGGTCAGTTTCAGAATAAACACTCCTGCATTAGCTTCATGAAACKAAACCTAAAAATAAAAGACTTTTGAACAAACAGAATCCTCCATCAGACCAGGACAAGTTCTCCTCCAAAACCTGCTGTTAAAATGCTGTTAAAAGAAGTTTTATTCTCCAATTAGAAAAGTAAAATCATTTTCATGGAATGAAATATTTTCAGTTTGTTTTTGAGTGAACCCTTATTGCCTCCACCTTTTTCTGGCCCTTAATATCCCCTTTACCAGTTTTTGACCAATGCAAATAAAGACAGATGGTAAAAAGTGTCCAACCTGCAGAGCATGTTTTTATTAATGCAGCTGTCTGTAAGCAAAGAGCTGCAGAGATGTTTTGTTTGAAAAATCAAGGTAGAAGAAGCTGACAGCTTCAGGCTGTGTTTCAGAAAACTTTCCCTCCTGAAGGGGAATAAGCGCCTGCGTGGTCCCTGACCTCTGCTCCCTCTGTCTCGTCGATGAACTTGTCTTGATTGCCGAGMATCCTAACCTGGATACAAAACCTTCATCTTTGCTTTGAATAACTGCAGAAAACTTGTGTTTGCATAAAGCTCCGTGTGTATTTATGAAGAGCTGACGAGTGAAGCTCCCCGMGAGTCTGACACCTGCTGAACTTCTGCCTCCCTGACACAGACATGAACCCCTGWAGGTCGTCTGGATGGACTTCATTTCCTCGTGGAGCTCCTCGGCGTACGAGCATCCTAAAGGAGCCACGGTGTAGATAAGGATGAAWATCATGTTAACCGGGAGGTAAAACAAACAGTTTTAGGGGAAAAAAATAACTTTAAAAATCGAACTGTTGTGATGTGAACAAAAGAGAAGAGGGCCACTGGAAATAAAAAATAATAATTCTGATGTTAATATCAAAATTCTGAGACTTTTTCTCAAAATTCTGAGACTTTTTCTCAAAATTCTGAGACTTTTTCTATAAATCTGAGAAAGATAAGTCAGAATTCTGATATTAAAGTCAGAATGATTATGTTATCTCAGAATTACGTGTTTTTTCCTGATTCTGACTTTAATCACAGAATTCTGAGACTTTTTCTAAAATTCTGAGAAAAAATATCAGAATACTCAGAAAAGTCTGAATTCTGAGAATTATTAAAGTCAGAATCCTGTGATTAAAGTCTGAATTCTGACTTTAATCTCAAAATCACAAAAAAGTCATAATTCTGACAAAAAAGTCAGATTTTTAAGATTAATTAAAATCAGAATTATGAGAATAGTCCAAATTATGAGATTAAGATCAGAATTCTGAGGGAATTGTGAGAGTCAGAATTCAGTGGCCCTAATCCTCTTGCGTAGAGGTGAAAACTCAGGTTTTAATAAAATATTTGTGTTTTAGTTTCCGTTGAAGACTATTTGAGACAATGAATACAATGAGGAATTCCTATTTTTACACAAATATATAGATTAAGTTGAAAGATTTTTCCTTCTTCTCTTGTTTCCTGTTTTAATTAAACCCTCTGCTGCTTTTTCACAGTAATTGAAAATCACATGTTAAAACAGCAGAATGTCAGAGTGTAAACCTAGATTTAATTAACCTTTTAATG